AGAGCGGTTGAACATAAAAGCTGAGACTAAAGGTGGTGGGACAACCTTGTCTAAGGCGACACTTCGATCGGACAACCAAGAAATGTCTAAGGAAGAGTTACGAAGGCAACATCAGGCAGAACTTGCTCGTCAGAAGAATGAAGAAACGGCAAGGAGGCTTGCTGGTGGTGGTTCTGCAGCAACTGATAATCGCGGTGCTGGGAAGACAATCGGCGACCTAGTCGCCTACAAAAATGTCAACGATCTGCCTCTTCCAAGAGATTTAATGATTCAGATTGACCAAAAGAATGAAGCCATCTTATTGCCAATTTATGGAAGCATGGTTCCTTTCCATATAGCCACTGTGAAAAGTGTCTCCAGCCAGCAGGATGGTAACCGGAACTGCTACATCCGAATAATCTTCAATGTGCCTGGAACCCCATTCAATCCTCATGATGCAAACACCCTTAAATTTCAAGGATCAATCTATCTGAAAGAAGTTTCATTCCGGTCGAAAGACCCAAGGCATATAAGTGAAGTTGTACAGCTAATTAAAACCCTTCGCCGACAAATTGCTTCTAGGGAGTCAGAAAGAGCTGAGAGGGCAACTTTAGTTACTCAGGAGAGGCTGCAGCTTGCAGGAGCAAAATTCAAACCGATACGACTACCTGATCTATGGATTCGTCCTCCTTTTGGTGGCCGTGGAAGAAAGCTTTCGGGTTCTCTTGAAGCACATACAAATGGTTTCCGCTATTCTACTTCAAGGCCTGATGAAAGAGTGGATGTCATGTTTGGAAACATTAAACATGCCTTTGTCCAGCCTGCAGAGAAGGAAATGATCACTCTGTTGCATTTCCATTTGCATAATCACATCATGGTGGGAAACAAAAAGACAAAAGACGTGCAATTTTATGTAGAGGTGATGGATGTGGTACAGACACTGGGAGGTGGAAAAAGATCTGCCTATGATCCAGACGAGATCGAGGAAGAGCAGCGTGAGAGGGATCGAAAGAACAAGATTAATATGGACTTCCAGAATTTTGTGAACCGAGTTAATGACTTGTGGGGACAACCCCAATTCAAAGCACTTGATCTTGAGTTTGATCAGCCACTTAGAGAGCTTGGTTTCCATGGAGTGCCTCACAAGGCGTCAGCTTTCATAGTCCCAACTTCAAGCTGCTTAGTTGAGCTGATAGAGACGCCATTTGTGGTGATCACTCTAAGTGAGATTGAAATAGTCAACCTTGAGAGAGTTGGCCTCGGGCAGAAGAATTTTGACATGACCATTGTGTTTAAGGACTTCAAGCGGGATGTATTTAGAATCGATTCTATCCCCTCAACATCACTAGATGGCATCAAAGAGTGGCTTGACACAACTGACCTGAAATACTACGAAAGTAGATTGAATCTCAACTGGCGCCCTATACTAAAAACTATCACCGATGATCCCGAGAAGTTCATAGAGGACGGAGGCTGGGAATTCTTGAACATGGAGGTTAGTGATTCAGAGTCTGACAAGTCAGAAGAATCAGACCAAGGGTACGTGCCTTCAGATGTACAGTCCGAATCATCAGAGGACGAGGATGATGATAGCGAATCATTGGTAGAGTCAGAAGACGACGAGGAAGATGACTCAGAGGAAGGCTCAGAGGAGGATGAAGGAAAAACATGGGAAGAGTTGGAGAGGGAAGCGAGCTATGCAGATAGGGAAAAAGGAAATGATTCTGACAGTGAACAGGAGAGAGCTAGGAGGAAGATGAAGTCATTCGGAAAGGCTCGGGCACCAGACAAGAGGAGTCTGGGTGGTAGCCTTCCCAAAAGGCCCAAAATAAGGAGATAGATCATCTGCTTTTTTTGCCTTACTTTTTATTACACTTATCCCCCAGTTTTTACCATCAGCTGTAGATGCCTCTTGTATAATAGTGTTTTACAATATTTATGTTGTTAAGCTCTATGAGTGTAGTTTTATTTGATTGTATTGTAAACACATACTAAAGTTATGAAGTTTTTTCACTTGTAAGATAGTGGTGTGAAGAGAATTCATGCCCTTTCTTCATGTTTTATTTTCTTCATTTTTTTGGGGCAATTGATATGATTGGGTGGAGATGCTGTTTCCGGATTTATGCTGTGTGGCAGAACAGAACCAGCAAAAAGGAATGTAAAACAGGATCCAATACAGGTTATAAAAACAATGACAATCATCATGGAAGATCAAAGAGAAGGGAAAAAAATGCATGATGACTTACAGAGCAGAAAAAGGCGGGATTAAACTCGAAGACTACCCTAATAAAGGCAGAATTTGATCAATAAAAGCCACGTGAAAAACATAAATACAGCCATCAAATGTTCCGATATAACGTGTTAATTTCAAATGATCCAGTAAATTTCAGCTGCAAAAAGCAAAGTAGAAAAAAGGTCAAAATAAATGGGTAAAGGACATAGTTAAATCTTCCAAAATTAGAGATCGTACATTGCAAGCTAAAATTTCAAGATATAACGTCATAAACTAACTCAATAAAAGAAGTTTGTGAAAAACTGTATTCAGACACGGGCAAAACACTAGTGAGAATTACGTAATGAAACAATAAGCTCCAAATAGGAAATCTCAGGCATCGACTAGTCATCTAGAAAATTAGTACCCATCAAAAAAACAAAAACAAACAACCAAAAACAACAAAAAAGTTTGCACTCACCTTTCCCTAATCTCATCTTGGGCCAGTTGAACCAGTGGTTTAGCAATGGTTTGCCTTCAGAACCCCCATCAACCTCTCTATTTTTCAGTGCGAGCCTTTTGGGTCATTTTTGGCAGGACAACTTGGTTATTTAACACAGATTTACTCGCATAATAGCATTATACTCACTAGTTTTTCTGCTTCCAAGATAAAACACAACGAATGAGCGAAAGAAGAAATGAATTAGTAGCTTATGAATGATAAGTGACCAAACAAAATTCTTCCACCAAAAGTGATGCTACCAATGTACAACCAACAAGAAGATGATTTCATGGTAAGGAAAAAAATAGTTCTAATAACTTCGAAACAAACTAGTACAAAAATAAGAGTTCCAAGCTAGGTCAGGATACTGCAGCAGCAAATTGCTACTGGATACCAAAAACGGATAAACAAAATACCATTGAAACAGAAAAAATAAATCTCAGGTTACATCTATCTTAATTTAGCCCGCTTGGGGACAGAACTACTGGGACCGCCTCGAGACTTTCCAAATGCTTTCATCTTCCTCCTCTTTCTCTCCTCCTCACTATCCGACTCAACACCCTTCTCCTTGTCTGCATTGCTGGCTTCCCTCTCCAACTCTTCCCAAGTCTTTCCCTTTTCTTCTTCCGAGTCTGCTTCAGAATCATCCTCGTCCTCGTCCTCAGACTCCACCAGCGACTCACTGTCAGAGTCATTATCCTCTGATTCGGATTCTACCTCCACATCTGATGGCTCATAACCCTGGTCAGACTCTTCTGAGCGCTCTGATTCTGAATCAGTAGCTTCCAAATTCAAAAATTCCCAACCTCCATCCTCAATGAAGCTCTGTGGGTCATCAGTGATTGCCTTCAGTATCTGCCGCCAGTTCAGATTCAGCCTGCTCTCATAGTACTTGATGTCTGTTGTGTCGAGCCATTCCTCGATGCCATCAAGTGCCGTCGAAGGAATAGAATCAATCCTGAGGACGTCTCGTTTGAAGTCCTTGAATACAATAGTCATGTCGAAATTCTTCTGCCCAAGGCCAACTCTTTCCAAATTCACGATCTCAATCTCACTTAGGGAGACAACAAGGAAAGGAGTCTCTATCAATTCAACAAGGCAAGTTGAAGTTGGAACAATAAACGCCGAGGATTTGAAGGGTACACCATGGAAACCAAGTTCTCTCAGAGGCTGATCAAACTCAAGGTCAAGGCCACTGAATTGAGGCTGCCCCCAAAGATCATTCACTCGGTTCACAAAGCTTTGAAAATTCATGTTGATTTTGTTCTTCCTATCCCTCTCCCGCTGCTCTTCTTCAATCTCGTCCGGATCGTAGGCAGATCTCTTTCCACCCCCCAAAGTTTGAACTACATCCATAACCTCAACATAGAACTGCACATCCTTCGTTTTCTTGTTCCCAACCATTATGTGGTTGTGCAGATGGAAGTGAAGAAGAGTGATCATCTCATTCTCTGCTGGCTGGAAAAATGCATGTTTAATGTTTGCAAACATTATATCCACACGCTCATCCTGCCTGGTAGTAGAATATCGAAACCCATTCACATGAGCTTCAAGGGTACCAGGAATCTTTCTTCCACGGCCACCAAAAACAGGACGTATCCAAAGGTCAGGCAACCTGATTGGCTTAAATCTGTTGCCAGCTAGCTGGAGTCTCTCCTGAGTAACAAGAGTTGCTCTCTCAGCTCTCTCAGATTCCCTGGCAACAACTTGCCTCCGAAGTGTCTTAATCTGCTGCACCACCTCACTTATGTGCCTAGGGTCCTTAGACCGGAATGAAACCTCTTTCAGGTATATAGAACCCTGGAACTTCAAAGAGTTTGCATCATGAGGACTGAAAGGGGTCCCGGGAACATTAAAGATTATTCTAATGTAACAATTTCGATTAGTATCTTGCTGGCTGGAAACTGTCCTTATTGTAGCAACATGAAAAGGTACCATACTCCCATAGATGGGCAACAGAACAGCTTCATTTTTCTGGTCAATCTGAATCATCAAATCTTTAGGAGGGGGCAGATCATTAACACTCTTGTAGGCAATCATATCAGTTAAAGCCCTCACAGCAGCACGGTTGTCTCCTATCCCAGATCCCCCACCTGCTAGCCGACGGGCAGTTTCTTCGTTTTTCTGTCTGGCAAGTTCTGCCTGATGCTGCCTGCGGAGTTCCTCTTTAGAAACCTCATGATTATCTGACCTTAATGTTGTCTTAGACATAAAGGCCTCTGTTCCATTAACCTCAGCTTTCCCCTTGGGCTTTTCCTCTTCTTCATCGTCCTCATTAAATGAGTACGCAACATCTTTGACGGCCTTAGAACTTTTGCTAGTCACTACATCCGCCCTATCATTGTCAATAATAACTGTGTCAGCAAGCAAAAGAGAAAAGTTCTGTTTTTTCGGGTTATTGGTTTGATTCTGCAAGTTCTGAAAACCAAGAGACACATTGAAGATCATTCCAGATTTCACCACTCTATCATTCTTTGCATTAAGATTCAATCCCGACTCACGAAATTCAAGACCAATTCCTGTCCCAGCAGACTTTGTCAGATGTGAAACCAATTCAGGAGCATCCTTCTCAACAATCGAGAGGGCTGCTTGATAAGCAGCGCTAACTTTATTCCCAGGCTTCAACGCGTTAATAGCTGCCTCATGTGCCTTGAGAAGAACTGTGTATGCCTTGCTCTGCAGGGGATTAGCATCAATCAAGAATGTTCTGGCAACATTGGAGCAGTAACTCTTGTACCGGGATCCAACCGCACATATTATCACACTTGCAGAGTCATAGTAAAGCAGCTCATCATTGCTTGCAGCGCTAGGCCTGAGATCAAACTCTCCACCACTTTGAAAAATTGGAGGATAACAGATGTCAACATTCTCCGCCTTCAGCTTTGCACCAGCTTTAGATGGTTCCAAGATGGCCTTCTCTGTCTCATTCATCAAAGCAGAATGAGTTACTTTCTTTTCCTCATCAATAACGTTCTCAAGCTTTGGGACCACAATGTTATTCAAAACATTAGTAGTCAAGAAGGCAGCTTTCTTCACATTCACAAGCTCTTCCTTGTCCTTAAGGGCAAATAGATCAGACAACCCGTTTGCTATATCTGTAAGCTGGAAATTGGCATTCTTCAACTTCTCAGCCCATGTTTCCAGGAGATTTCCTTCAGGAACTTCCCTAGCTATGTATCCAACTACACTACTATTATTGCCATCTGCCTTAGATTGAGTGCGTATGGCACGAAATATAGCATCCATGAGCCCACTTCCATCATCACCCTTTGTCTTCAAATGCATCAAAACATCTGCACCAACAGCCTCTTTGGCAGGTTTTTTCACAACATCAAGCAAAGATACCTTCTTCTGGCTACACAGGAAATGAATCTGCTTCTTCATGAAAACCATGATTGTATCCGGAAATTCATAACCAAGCAGCCATATGTTCAATGCCGAGGACTTTAGGTACCGCAGATCCTCTGATGGTGGGGGTGTTGCAATTGCAAGCACGTCAGAAGAGCCCCACAAATCAGACTTGTGCTCATTCCAATGCGAATAAAGAATGTTCAAGCGCTCACTGAATTTACTCAAATCAATAGAGTACGCACTTCCAGCTCCAGCAGCCTTCCCATTAGGAGGCTGGCTATTTCCTTTGCGATGATCAGCCATTGAGAAGTAATTGCAACTGGTCTGCACGGCAATATAGACCCATTAATCAGTTAATGACCAAATTTTCCTTGTTTCCTCAAGTGAATATGACAGATATGCAGCAAATTATTTTGTATAAGCTTTTCCCATTTATCTTAAAAATAAGGAAAGAAAGACAACAATGAAAGAGAAAATCAAAAAACGAAATCCTCCGTGCAGTAAGTAAACCTAATAGAAATAACCAAAAATCTAAAATTAATTCATAAACCTATTACCTCGTAAAATCGCTCATACACATACAATCTCGAACAAATAAAGCTGAGAAAACAATTAGGGTTTCACGAGTTTCAAGCAAAATTAGGGTTTTCGAAAAGCACACTGTCAGAAGTAAAAATTGAAAATCAAGAGTTAGATTAACGAAAGAAACAAACTCCGAAACAAGCCAAGCATCATTCCATTCCAGAAAATCGACTTAAAATGAAAAATTAGGGTTTCGCAAAAGCACAAACGCGTCGAACATAACTAAGGGGGAAAAAATCAAAGAAACGAAGAAACTACGAAGCATCAAAAGCAGAAATCGAAAGTTTCCGAACCTTCACTCAAAGCCTTGCGCAGAATCGCGAAGATAGTGCAGTACAAATTAGGTTTCGAAATCGCAGGGTCGAAATACAAGCCGCAACGAACGGCCCTCCGAATGCGAAAAAGCCCGAATTAGAAGAACCGGAAATGCGTACGCGATGAAGAAGAAGAAGAAACTAGGGCTAGGTTTCGAAGATGGATTTGGGGAAATGAATTCGAAAGTTTTGGATTGGAAAAAAGAAAAACGAAATTGGGAAATGAGAGAGAGAGAGAGAGAGCGAGAGAGAAGGGGCTGTGGGGG